TAAAAATAATTATTGCTTATTACACTTATTTTTTTTTAATTTGATTAAATAAAAATATCATAAATGTGTCTAATTTTTTTATATTTTTGTAATTTTCTATATTTATTTTTATTTTAAGAATTTTATTACTTAACTATGACTTCATAGGTTGATCAATTTGATTCAAATGGTTGAATTGCTTAGCCACCACTTGGATAAAGAATGATTTTGTTTTTGAGTCAACTTTAAAATACATGGGTTTATATTGTTAAAAATATTGACATATATCTAATTAGTAGCACTTATAAGTGAAAAATAACTTACAAATATAAGATTTAATAAGAGAAAATGGGATTTAATACCTTAAGTATAAGACTTAACGAGAGGGGATTAAGTGAGGTAAAAAGTAATAATTAAAGTTGCATTTTCAACTCTTACACTTAGAGATGGATTAAATACACAAATATGGCCATTATAGTAGCCATTAGAGTTGGCATTAAATCTATAACGAAATGACTATTATTACCCTCTCTTAAAAAAATAGAAGATCATTTTAGTCCAAAATATGTTTCACATTGCATCCACACTTTTATATATAATATAGATATATCGGCTTGAACCTTAGAACTTAAGTGCAAGATCAGAAATTTCTTGATCATATTGGAATATCACCCCTATATTGTATGTTGTGTTGAGTTTTTAAGTCATATTCATTTGCTAGATGACTAGTAGTTAAATTGGCTGCAAGGCATCTCTCTTACTACAATGGAGGCACAAATCATACATGCACATCTTTTAGGCTCTTCATGGTATTGTTAGTGGAACTTTTGTGCTTCCTGCTCTGTCCGCAATCCCATTCTCGAATCTAGTAAAGCAATGTGGATGGGCTTGGTTGGGTTTTTGTCAAAATTTGAATTGGCTTGGCCATAATTATGTAAAAATGTTAACTCAAGCCAATCCGAGTTGCATCCCTGCCCGAATCCTTAATGGTGTAATCTGTAACACCCCCCCAAAAAAAAGTCAAATCTGTTCAATGCCTAAACGGCTAAACCAAACTATTGAAGAATCCAGTCCTGAACCATACTAGTCTACAATGTGCTCTTGATCCAACCATCTAATCTAAGTTTTAAGTAAATGTTTTGACATTCAGGATGACTCTGCTATCAGTGTCCTAATAGCACCTTTGGGCTGTGTTTGGTTTATTAGAAAATCCTGCATTTGAAAGTGATGTAAATGTACTTTTACACACTAAATGGCTATAAAATCGGACCAAAATGTAAAACAACACCAGTCTAGTATTTACTCCACAAACAAACGGAACGTAAGGGAGGAGTAGAAAGTTGAGGGAAAGTTAAACTACACTGAGCCTAGGGTTGTTCACGGGGCGGGTTGGGTCAATTTAAGACAGTTTCTTCAACCGACCCGACCTAGTTGGGTTACTAAATCATCGAACCAAAACCGACTAACCATGAAGCAAAACCGACCCAAACATGAAGGGTCGGTTTATTGGTTTATCGGTTTAAATATATTTTGAAAATATACATATTTGATATATTTCAGAATATATATATATATATTATTTAAAACTAAAATATCTATATATAAATATCTATTTATATTTAAGTTTATTTCTTTTCAGTTTTTATGCAAAATCGAAATATCTATATTTAACAATTTTAAATATACAATATATATTTAAATTAAAACCGAAATATATATTTAAATAGATTAGTTTTTTTTATACAAAACTGATTTTTTTGTGTAAATATATATTTAAATTTATACAAAACTGAATTAAATATTATACCATTGTATTATATTTGTATTGGTTTTACTTTTTTAGTTTTTATCATAAATAGCCGGATTCTTTTCAAATCTCAAACAAAACACAAATAAAATATATCAGCATTTAACATGCATTAAAATTTAAAAGTATTAAAGAAAAAAATAAAATGCCAACTTGTGAATGTGATGCTTGAGTCTTGAGAAGTTGAGAGAATGAGAGTTAGGAAGACGGGAGGAAAACGACAGTACTTATAATTGTAATGGTGGATGAAAGAAGCCTTGGGAGTTGCAAACTTGTAGTGTGAGACGGACCAGGTAATAGAAAGATGAAGATCGGAAGAGTCAAAGAGAAATCAAGATTAAGTCTTCAAAACTCTAAGACTCTTATTTGGTGTAAAGCATGGAATTTTTCTTTGACTCTTCCCAAAAATGCAAGACTCCAAGTCTCCAAAGTATCCATTGTCCAAGACTCCATTGAGAAGAACAATTTTCTAAGTTTAGCAAGTCTAAAGGTGAGGGATCTTACTTGCAATGCTTGCTAATCCCAAAAAAAGTTTTTGAAATTGACTCAAATTATATCTTTTTCCCGATATCGGATATTTCCTATTTGGTGCAAAGTTTCCAACTCAAAAAAGAAAAACAATCCCAAAGACAAACCAATTCCCATTTAGTTAATGTTTTGTTTTTTCATTTTTTTTTATGTTAAAGCTAAGTAGCTAATTAGAAACCAAGGGTAGGGCTTATCGGATTAGGGAAAGAATACCTAGGGAATAATTACTTAAAAGCTTACATATTCAAACCGAACCAAATTATCAGTTTATTTACCTATATAAACCGAAAACGACATGTAATATTGAAAAACCGACCAAAATCGGATTGGGTCGAGCCAATTTGGTCGGCTTGCCATCAAACATCAACGCTGAGCGTTAGGTTTTTAACCAGTCACCGAAAAAATTAGATTTTTTTGATTGAAAAATAAAAAATATAATTAGGTTAATGTACTAGGTAAGTAGGTAGTCGCGTAGTTGGTAACTAGGTACAACTCCACAAAGCAGGAATCTTTTACAGGTGCAACCATCCGTGCCTTCCACACCTAATGTTATAATGTTGAGTAAATCCCAATCTCACGTGTTAAATGAGGGACACGTGTCCTTAGGGACAGGACCATTGATCGAATTTTGTGCGCTACGTGTCAGGAATTAACTAAAAAATAACGATCTCAGGCTGTTCCTTAAATGGACAAAATGATCCTTATCGAAACCGAAAATTACGACTCGCCCTTCCCGCGTTGTACCATTTTATTCACTCTTTTGAATTTTGATTTTTGATTTTTATTTATCTGACAGTATAATATCTGTTTTTTTTTTTAATAGAAAATGAGATTTTTAAATTTTATGAAGGATACATCATTGGACAGTATAATCAATATACCAATATATATATATTAAGCTGAAATGTGTACTTGAGAAGGCGTTGTAACGAGGGAAATGGAATCTAACAATATTTTTTGCATTTTTTTCATAAAAATTATAAGAATACTACTTTCTACCAATTCTCTTTTTTTTTCTTTTAAATTACAAGAATGCCACTCTCTCTCTCCTACCAACTCTCTTTCTCTTATTTTTTTCTTTCAAATTACAAAAATGTCACTTTCTCTCTTATCAATTCTCTCTCTCTTTCTTATAAATTACAAGAATGCCATCTCTCTCTCTCCTTATAAATTACAAGAATGTCACTCTCTCTCCAACTGAGGGAGACTTTAGCTTGGCATCTTGTCTGCTAGGGGACCTACATTCGAAGGTAGTCAAGTTCGAGCCGAGCCAAGCTCAAACTTTTGATCTCAAGCTCAAGTCTCTAATTCAAATCGACCACTAAGGGAGACATCGGCTCGGCACCTTGTTAACTAAGGGAGACCTTAGCTCGACACCTCGCCTGGTAGGGAAACCTTAGCTCGACACTTCAACAGCTGAGAGAGACCTTGGTTTGGCACCTCGACAATTGAGGGAGACCTCAACTCAACACCTCAAATGCTTGAAAGACCTGCAATCAAAGGTAGTCAAGCTCGAACTTCTAAACTTTTGGCTCGAGTCGAGCTCAAGTTTTTAATTCGAATCGATATCGAGCTTGATAGTTTATGAGCGAGCCCTACAACGCAAGGCCCCCTCCGCTAGGTGTGGGCACAGCTTGCAAGCAAGAACCTAAAAGGAAACTCTTAGGATCAAATAGAATAGTCATGAATATCAATATATATATATAGAGAGAGAGAGAGTGTGGCATTCTTGTAATTTCAAAGAAAAAAGGCAAAAAATACTGTACTTGAGCTAAAATGTGTACTTGAGAAGGCCTACGAGGGAAATGGAATATAACAATATTTTTGCCTTTTTTCTTTGAAATTACAAGAATGCCACTCTCTCCTACCAATTCATTCTCTCTCTCTTGCTTTTTTTTTCTTTCAAATTATGCCATTGTCTCTCCTACCAACTCTCTCTCTCTCTCTCTCTCTCTCTCTCTTTTTCTTATAAATTACAAGAATGCCATCTCTCTCCTTATAAATTACAAGAATGCCACTCTCTCTCCAACTGAGGGAGACCTTAACTCGGCATCTTGGCTGTTAGGGGACCTGCAATCAAAGGTGGTCAAGTTCGAGTCGAGCCGAGCTTAAACTTCTGAGCTCAAGCTAGACGATACCTCGACCACTGAGGGAGACCTCAGTTCGGCACATCGATCACTGAGGATGATCTCGGCTCAACACCTCGCCTATTAGGGAAACCTTAGCTCGACACTTTAACAGTTGAGGGAGACCTCGGTTTGGCACCTCGGTTGCTTGAGAAACCTGCAACTAAAGGTAGCCGAGCTCAAACTTCCAATCTTTTGACTTGAGTCGAGTTCRAACTCGAGCTCAAGTTTCTAATTCGAATCGAGCTTGATTTTGATAGTTTATGAGCGAGCCCCTGCAATGAAGGGCCCCCTCCGCTAGTATCTGTTAGGTTGCACCGAAAAAATGGATTTTCTCTTCTCAAATATCAGAAAAAAGTAAAGACGATTTATTTCCATTAGGAAGTATTAGTTTAGTGTGATGCCAAACGGGCCTTTGAAGACAAAAGTAAAATTTGAATTAAAGGTAAAGCTTAAAGCACGTTATTAGACTCATGCGTGGAGGTGGAACCCAAGAAAAATTGTAGAAACTAATTAAAATATAAAAGGAATATTTTAATAATTTGTCGTGTATATTCTGTTTCTGAAAGCAACAGACATGGATCTTCACGGCGAGAGTTTCTGGGGTTTCCCTCTGGATAAAATCAATGATCAAGACATTAATAGAAATTTAGAGCTCTTTAACGTTTCTGGACTGCAATTTCTTCTGTTCTCAGTTTCCTGGGTTCATTTTATTCAGTTTCTTCTGTTTGTCTGCTCCCCTCTTCTAGTTTACTCGAATCATTGTGTTTTTACAAGGAGTGCTGGTTCTAGCCCTTGAACAGATTTGTGGATTTGGGATGGTGAAGGTGTCTGTGGGATCGGTTAGGGATTTTGATTTGAATTGTTCTTTGGCTAATGGTCGTGGGTTTTCTAATTGGTAAATGGTCGTGGGTTGGGAGAGACAATTGGTTTTGGTTCTAACTTCTGAGAATTTTCGTTTTATTCCTTTTGTTATTTGAATTTAAGATTTTATCCTTTGTCAATTTTAGTAAAGCTTTGGTTTTCCTTGTACATTGCTGTATGAAGTAGTGACGGTTGATTAGTAAAGGTGGACCCTTTTGAATCTATAAAGGGTTTCTACCTGGTTCTTCCTGTTTGCTTTTTTCTATTCCTGGGTCCTTTTCTTTTTAGCTTTTTGCTGAATTTGGAGTTCTACTGGTAGAGTGGTTTGAATGGTTGCTTTGAAAGATTGAAATTTCACAGTCGGGCCTGATTTTTTCGAGTTTCTTAGTTTGTGGGTTCAGTTCATTTTCGTCCCCCACCGCCGCCGCCACCACCACCACCACCATGGAGTACAGTTGCCAGTTAGAGAATAATATTTGAAGAGATTTTGATATCTTTGAGGAGCTAGAGATTCTCTCTTCATTTCTGAAGATGAGGAGATTCAAAGGAGAACCTCTTGGTGGGAAGAGATTTAAGTTGTATCATTCTCTGTTGGTTGTAGCGTTATTGTACTTGCTTTTTATCTCCCTCAAGTTCCATCGGGTCTTGGAGTTTGCGATAGTGTTGAGCGGAGATGACAGTTTCGTTGGACTGGATAAATCTGCAGCAGTCGAGGAAGATGGGGATATAAGCAAGCCCTTCTTTAGTTCAGTTTACAAGGATACTTTCCACAGGAAATTGGAAGATAACCAGTACCATGATGCACCTTTAATGCCTCGGAAGGAGCCATTTGAAGAGGAAGCAAGTAAGTCCCCAACTATAAAGCCTCTGCAGCACCACTATGGTCGGATCACGGGTGAAATCATGAGGCGAAGGAATAAAACAATGGATCTGTCTGTGCTGGAGAGAATGGCGGATGAGGCATGGACATTGGGTAACAAGGCATGGAAAGAAATTGAGAATTTCAATTCAGAGGAAGCTGATCAGAGTTTTCTGATTGAAGGGAAGCCTGAGTCATGCCCTTTGTCTGTATCAATGACTGGAGTAGAACTTGGGAGTGGGGAGGAACATGTCATGTTTCTTCCTTGTGGGCTTGCTGCAGGTTCTTCTATAACAGTGGTGGGGACGCCTCATAATGCTCATGAGGAGTATGTGCCTCAGTTGGCAAGGTTGAGAAATGGAAATCCTAAGGTCTTGGTTTCACAATTCATGGTTGAATTGCAAGGGCTGAAAGCTGTGGATGGTGAGGATCCACCAAAGATTCTTCATTTGAATCCTCGATTGAAAGGTGACTGGAGCCATCAGCCAGTGATTGAACACAATACATGCTATAGGATGCAATGGGGAACGGCTCAAAGGTGTGATGGATTGCCATTGAAAAATGATGATGACATGCTAGGCAAGTTCTCATCTTGCTTTTTTTCTGTTATATATCTATTCCTGGTTAATGTGTTAAGCAACTAACCTACAAGCAAAAACCTTACAACTTTTATGTTGCTTTGTGAAAAGATTATAGTGTAACAAGTTTGTTCAGATACAAAGAAAAAATGTTAGGAAATGAGCACTATTTTTCCTTGTAGGTAGACTTAAGATTTGAAAGTAAAGGAAACCTTGGCTGTGTTTGGTTTGAAAGAAAAGCTAGGGAAAAGTAGGGAAACCTATACACAACCTTAGTGAAGAACAAGCTTGGACACATGGTCTCGGTTATATGATAAAAAGAAAAAAATGTGATGCCGAACCATTCCTCCCAGGACATATTTCTCAATATTGCACTAATGCAGATGCAGAAACTTATTCATATACATCACACAACTAACCTCTGATCCTTAAACCTAATTGAATGAATTACAACCAAAGTCATAAAACCAACCTTTGATCCTTAAACCTAATTGAATGAATTACGGCCAAATCGTAAAACCTACCCCCTTTTATATKCGAGCCAAAGATTCTGGTCAGAGGTGTGCCCCTGAACTTTCCACATGGGCTTGTTTGGGTCCACTGGACCTCCACCTCCATAAAGGCCCCAATCTCTTACAATTGGGAATACAAGACATCTAGCATCACACTAGCTACTTGTGGTAATGCGATAGACAAATACATTGAGAGTTTCACATTCTTGAATTGCCAAGCACTTGAAGCATTTGGTACAATACACATCTATTTGCTTTCGCTTTCAGTTTGAATTTGCCTTACATATTATGCTCATATGTTTTGATTTTAGCCAATTTGATGTTCACTCCCAGGAACATGGATGCTAGACAATTTTCTAAGTGTAGGTTTGGTGTAAGGCTCTATGTTCGTAGTTTCCTTAATAGAGATACAATTAGAAATGAATCACTTATCGTTTTTAAGCTGAAGCTTGCCTGGACTCTTGAGTCCCATGTGTGATCAAGTAAAGGTTTAACCAATTTTCTTTTCCTATAAACTTACATTTCATTCTAGACTATCTTGCAATCTTCCATGGTTGTTCTTGCATCCATTTATGTGGCCCTTGTTTTTCCATCTCTTGTATTTTTTTTGATAAATAATTAATCTTTGTTATCAAAAATCAACTCAGTACAAGTGACCCTTGGAGAGGCGTTCACTGCAACCCTTCCATTAATTGTAGTACAAATACAAACAGAAGAGAATGATTCCACCTCCCTTGCATTCTAATTCCCCGATGAATGCACCTGACCAAATGGTCAATGTTTCATACATATGGCATGGTGTAAAGGAGTGGCAATTTCTGTAACATTTAGAAATGGAATTCATTATTCATGTTGTTACTATTTCCTGCTTCACAGCCAACAAAGTTCTGTATTTTCTTTTTTACCTATTGAAAGAATTCAATCTCACATTCTCGGCTTTTTTGTGTTGTCCGTATTTCTCAACTTCTATTGGACAGTTGATGGGTTCGGGAGATGTGAAAGATGGATGCGGAATGATATTGTAGATCCAAAAGAGTCCAAGTCAACCTCATGGTTCAAACGATTCATAGGGCGTGCCCAAAAGCCAGAAATGATGTGGCCATTTCCTTTTGCAGAGGAAAGACTGTTTGTCCTGACACTGCGAGCTGGTGTGGAAGGATACCATATCAATGTTGGTGGTCGACATGTGACTTCTTTCCCTTATCGGACGGTATGTAACTAAATCATCTAAAGGCACTTGTATGAGGACTATTACTGGTGTGGAAGCATGCAAGTGATTCCATGCTGGTTAATTATTGTCTCCTACCTAGGTGATATCCCAGGAAATAAATTGATCAATCAGATTATCTTGAACATAATCTACCACATTATGATGATGAAAAGAATACATGGCAAGATCCAGAAAAGGTGTGAAAATCAGATAGTCAATATGAATCATGAGCTAAGAGACCTTGCTGGATAGGATTGAGCAAATGGTAGATCAGCAGATTGTGCTGTGGTTATTGAGCATGGAAAGACCCTGTATCCATCATCATAATTTGACACATACAACATGGTTATTGAGGATGACTTGTTTTCATCCTCCCATTATGCTGTGGGTGTTCTCTCTTTTATATCATTTTCACCTCTTCTTGMAATTTGCTCTATATTAGTAACATTGAATATGTTTTTCTAATGTATATTTACATGGAAACTTTTTTCTCTACATGTTTCATAACCTTTGTCATTTCTTGTATTCTGGACTTGAAAATGCAGTTCTGAGTTCTGACCAAGGTATGTCTCTTTCTTTTAGGGTTTTACTCTTGAAGATGCAACAGGATTGGTAATTAAAGGTGATGTAGATGTGCATGCAGTATATGCAACCTCTCTTCCTACCTCACATCCAAGTTTCTCACTTCAGCGAGTATTGGAAATGTCGGAGAAATGGAAGGCTTCTCCTTTGCCAAAAAGTCCAGTTCAACTTTTTATTGGGATTCTCTCTGCTACAAATCATTTTGCAGAGCGCATGGCAGTTAGAAAAACCTGGATGCAGTTTCCTGAATTTAAGTCTTCAAATGTGGTTGCCCGTTTCTTTGTGGCATTGGTAAGCTTTATTTATCTATGTGTTTGATCTATATGTGTGGGAAAATAGTTTTTATGATGAAAATGGAAATGCGTTCTGCTAATTTACCAGGATATGCAGTTTGGGTCCAATATAAAGCTGCAAAGAATCAGGAAAATAGCAAATTCTTTGCTGTGTTTCTGCCATTTATGATGGTGGAATTGTAATGTGATTCTATTTGCATTTGATTATTTTGGTACACATCAATAAATTTCTACTCATCTATAACATCAAACTGTAGAATCCAAGAAAGGAGGTGAATGCAGCACTAAAGAAAGAAGCAGCTTACTTTGGTGACATTGTAATTCTGCCATTTATGGATCGTTATGAACTCGTGGTTCTTAAAACACTTGCCATCTGTGAGTATGGGGTAAGTTCATGTTCAGTCCCTTTGCTAACTCTCTTTTATTGAATCAGTCATGTGGTGATGGTTATCTAATGCATGTAAACATTATTATCTTCCATCCTGAGTTTGTTTGATTTGATAGTAAGAGAAAATAATTTATTTAATAGAAAAAGGATATTAAAGTTGAAGTTATAGGGGTTTCACCTAAAACAGAAAATGGAAACACTTATTGAAAAGTACGAAATACAAAGCAATCATGCACCATCAGAAACCAAATCTAAAGTGTTCCAGAAAACAGCACCTAATGACAGTCTATTGACATCTTCAAATTCTGGGTGCACCATCAAACACACCATGATCTCAGAGCATATATTAGCAACTATGTTTCTGAGATTACAGTGCCTTCTGTAAAATATTCTTTTATTTTCTCTCCGTCCGTATGTTTCTACAGGTCACAAATTCTCCAGACATCTTTTGCCTTTTTAACCATAGAGAAGGTAGGCCTAGAAGAAAATATTTTATCAGGTTGACTTGGTCTGAACAGTTGTTACCGAAATAGATGAAAAAGGGATCAAATGAATTCTGCTTGGAATGAATTAATAAATCCATTAAAAAAAGAGTAAATAGACACATGGATCTAAGGTATGCTAGAGCCATTCTAGTGTCACAGATGCCGCTGCAGTGGAAACAAAGGCCTCCCTCGAGCTCTTTGGATGATTGGCCAAATCCAAGGTATGCTAGGGCAAGGTCGGAGGAGTCTGAGGATGGCAACGAAGATTGGGTTTCTTTTTCAGATACCGGCAGTGAAGAAATACAGTCAATGGAAGGCTCCAACATAGGAAGCATCATTTTTAGGGTAAATTGGTGGATGGGGAGGATGCCATGGATTTAAACACTGATCTGTTGTTCGGTGGAATGGAGGATCATGATAAATCTTCTTACCCTCAACAAAATCTGGAAGAGGAAGGAAACTACAACACATTAGTGCAGAGGACACAAACAGAGGAGAAAACTGAAATCCCGGCTGAGGGGAATTCAAATCCCAAATTTCAACATCTGCAAGGGGTCTGGGAAGAGGGTAACTCTGATCATCAAAAGCCTAGTAGCTATGCATTGGTAAGGGATGAGCAAAAGATGCTTGAAAGCAGTCCATGTAGTTACAGTGCCATGGCAGTTCAACCCAACTCAGTGATACCTCTAGTGGAAGATGCTGCACCTAGCTCTAAGCTGGACTGGAAAACAAAGAACGAAATGCTAACAGTGTTAGACCATCCATCTCCAGAATCAGGTGTTGGAGTCAATTCAGTTTTTAGTACTGATCCTTCTTTTGTGCCTGAAATAGGTGTTCCAGTGTCTTCTTCTCCTGTTATTCAAGAGCCATTGAAATCTCAGATCCAATTTGGGTGGCTGAAGGGGAATACCTAATTCTTGAGGGGAAGGGAGTAGAGGAAGAGGAGAGGGAGAGAGGAGAGAAAATTCGGAGTAATTAGTGACTTTTTTGAGGATTTAAAAAAGAACTGGAAAAGATGAGAGAGGTCTGAAATAGCCTTAGCAGAATCCAATGTTTTAAAAACTGACCCGGAACTGGAACCGCTTTGGCCACCAGTTTCCGGGTCAGTGGTTTGACTGTCCGGTCCAAAAGGATGGTCCTTTGCAATTAAAAAAATAATTAAAACTAAAGGTCAAAAACTTTTGTTTGGGTTGAACAGGTCGACGGTTTGACTACCTGGTCAGTGGGTTGCTGACCAAGTCGGTGGTTTTCTGGCAAAAGACTGGGTCAGGGGTGAAATGGAACTGGCTGCTTGAATGATTTCCAGGCCAACCGGTCTGGCCGTCCAGGTCAACGACGGTTCAAAAACCATGGCAGAATCAGGAGTGAGAAAAAAATGATGGGGGGGGGGGAGGAGTCGATTAGAAAGAGGGCAGGTGAGAAAGATATTGAAGTAGCCGAAGACTCAATTGCTGGCTTTATTGGAAATTTAGGCTGCAAGATCAAGTATCCTAATGAACTGAAGCATACCTTAGAAAGATTGAAGAAGGGGAAAGAAGAAGGAAGACGAAATTAAACGAGGCTAAAAGACTAAGATTAGATGTTGAAGGGGATAAGAAATTTAGTGGTAGAGGGGAAAGAAGAAGAGGGGAGAAAAGAAGTGAGAATTAAAACAGGGGTCAGCAAAAAGGGGAGGCTTTAAAAAGTTATAATGAGGAGGATAATAAGCTGGAATGTACATGGACTGGATAGTGCAAGGAAAAGAGCTGTGATAAAGGAGGTGTTCAGGAAAGAAAAGCCTGATGTGGTCTTGTTGCAGGAGTCCAAATTGGCAAACTTTGATATCAGATGGGTAAGAAATCTATGGAAGTCCAAGGGTATAAATTGGGCGATGACTCCCTCTTGGGGGGCCTCGGGCATCATTATTACTTTATGGAGGAGTGAAGTATTGGAAGGAGTAATTGATTGTTAACTTTTCAGTTTTCATTAAGTTTAAACAGATTGAGGACATATTTGAAGAGGTTCTAACCAATATATACAGACCAAATAGTTATAGAGAGAGGAATGAATTGTGGGGAGAATTTAGTGCTATTAGAGACTTGTGGGAGGGGCCGTGGTGTATTGGGGGTGATTTCAATGTTGTTAGATTCTCAGAGGAAACAAATAATCCAAGGCAAAGGATCACAACCAGTATGAGGAAGTTTAATCTCTTCATAAATTCCTTTGAACTCAATGATTTGCCTTTAGCCCATCACAATTTTACTTGGTCAAACCTCCAAGTTAACCTTATTTGCTCTAGGCTAGATAGATTTTTGTTTTCAGTGGATTGGGAGCATTGGGGTGGATTAGTTTTGAAGGCATTATCAAGAGTAACCTCAGACCAGCATGTGAATTGTTTTCTATTTTTCAAAAATTTTATGCTGAAATACATACCCAATTTGGTGTTCATATTAAAATTCTTCGCTCCGATAATGCCAAAGAGTACACCTCAATACCATTTCAGCAATACTTAGAGCACCATGGGATAATTCATCAAACTTCTTGTGCCTACACCCCACAACAAAACGGTGTAGCTGAACGGAAAAATCGACATCTTCTTGAAACTGCTTGGTCTTTGATGCTTAATATGAATGTCCCAAAGCATTTTTGGAGTGATGCCGTCCTCACATCCTGTTTTCTCATCAATCGGATGCCCATGTCCATCATTGAAAGTCAATCCCCGGTGTTGTTTCCCACCTTGTCTCCATTTCCTCTGACCCCAAGAGTCTTTGGATGTGTTTGTTTTGTTCAAAACTTGGGGCCTGGTTTARACWARTTAGATGCACGAGCTACTAAGTGTATCTTCCTTGGCTACTCAAGGACTCAGAAAGGGTATAAGTGCTATAACCCTAACTTCCATAAGTCATTTGTGTGCTTCGATGTCACATTTTTTGAATCAGTTCCTTTTTTCTCAGATACTGTGGTTTCTTCTCCTTCCTTCGTAGTTCTTCTTCCCGTCCCTGTTGCGGATCCCCTTCCCGTGGTTCCCATTCCAGTTGCAGATTCACCTCCCATGCCAGTTACTACTGAGAGGCTACCAATCAAACAAGTGTATACTCACAGAAGAGCACCGACCCCTCCTCCAATCCAGCCCTCGTCGACAGATCCTGTCATTGCTTCTTCTCCCATAGACCTTAATCTTCTTATTGCCCTGCGGAAAGGTAAACGCACTTGTACTTCTCATCCTATTTCATACCATGTTTCAGCTGCTCACTTTTCTGCTTCTCATCGCAACTTTATATCATTGCTATCATTTGTTTCCATTCCCAAGACTGTCCAGGAAGCCCTTACCTCCCCAAGGTGGCGGCAAGCCATGGAAGAGGAAATCTCTGCTCTACAATACAACCACACGTGGGAACTCACTACTCTTCCTCCTGGTAAGCATGCTGTTGGGTGTAAGTGGGTCTACATAGTGAAGTATCTTCTAGATGGCAGTGTGGAGCGATTAAAGGTTAGGTTAGTGGCCAAGGGCTATTCCCAGTTGTATGGTGTGGACTATATGGAGACATTTTCTCCTGTGRCTAAAATTGGTCCAGTTCGGGTGTTGATTTCATTAGTTGCTATGTATGATTGGCCTCTTGTGCAACTTGACATAAAAAATGCTTTCCTACATGGTGATCTCATTAAGGAAGTGTATATGGAGCAACCGCCAGGGTTTGTTGCTCAGGGGGAGGATGGTAAGGTTTGTAGACTCAAAAAGGCAATTTATGGACTGAAACAATCTCCACGCGCATGGTTTGGCAGGTTCAGTGTAGTGAAAGACTTTGGGATGAAACAGTGTCAGGTAGACCATTTTGTGTTCAGCCATGACTCAAAAGATGGGAAAATCTTGCTAGTGGTGTATGTGGATGATATTGTCATAA